TAGTTTGAGGTATTATTTATTAAAATTTAGTGGTTATCCCACACATCTCCTTGGGACGGTTGGTGGGGGGTGGGGGGGAGGGAGGGACCGACCGACCATCTGTTACCCAGTGAAGAATTATTTTTTTTTTTATTAACTGAAGATATTTGTTTTAGCTCATAAAATTCATACAAATTATCCGGTCTGAATATAATTTACATTGCTGGAATTCTTATAATTTTATGATCATTTTGAATATAAACATCATATTTTTGCATTAGACATACAAATTTTAGATAAAAATTTTTCTCAAATTAACTATGTTATCTTTTGCGCAAAATATATGACATTTATATTCAAAATATTCCTGGTCTTACAAGGAATCCAGCAATGTCAATTATATTATCCTAACTTTAATCTGAGGTATTATTTAATACTAAATGTTAAAAACCCTGGAAGGGAGGATTGGTGGGGGGTGGGGGGGAGGGTTGGGACTGACCGCGCGGTTGGAAGATGGGGGGAGGCAAGGTGGGGTACTTTGATTGACAGATAGTGTTGTGAAGAGTATTTTTTTTTTTTATTAACTGAAGATATTTGTTTTAGCTCATAAAATTCATACAAATTACCCGGTCAGAATATAATTTACATTGCTGGAATTCTTATAATTTGGTGATCATTTTGAATATAAACATGATATATTTTTCATTAAACATACAAATTTTAGATAAAATTTTTTCTCTAGGTAACTATGTTATCTTTTGTGCAAAATATATGACATTTATATTCAAAATATTCCTGGTCTTACAAGGAATCCAGCAATGTCAATTGTATTATCCTAACTTTAGTTTGAGGTATTATTTATTAAAATTTAGTGGTTTTCCCCAAAAAATTTCTCTGAGAGGGAAGAGCCAGCGAGTGTAGTGTGAGAGAGGGAGGGAGTTGAGTCCATTATTTGAATGGACATTAACTTGGCGACTGTATTTCTCTTAAGTATTAATTGTGTGCATGTACCATCATAAAATTAAGATGTTATTTTTACTACAACATAGGTATGTGCCTTCAAAAAGTGGAGTTTGGGGGTCAGGCCGATTTCTATTGGAATTAATCCCATATGTTCTGTTGTTCACTTAACGCGGATTTCACTTAACGCGGGACCCTCTGGGTTCAATTGACCGCGTTAAGTGGGGTACTAACTTGTATATATATATATATATATATATATATATATATATATATATATATATATATATATATATATATATATATATATATATATATATATATATATATACAGTGACCCCTCCGTTAACGAACTCAATCCGTTCCAGAAGGTCGTTCGTTAACCGAAAAGTTCGTTAACCAAAACCATTGTTTCAATGGGTTTTTGGGTAATTGGTTCCAGCTCACCGAAAATTTCCTAAATTCAACAAAAATGGTAGAAAAGTTCACTTACGTTGAGGTGTGTATGTAGAAGGCTCCTGGATGATGATGATGATGATGATGGGAATTAGAATGGGGGTGGAGGAGAAGGAAGAAGAGAAGGCATTGGGGTGGAAGAGAAGTCACCCCATGGCGCCATTTCACCCATAAAATTTTAGCTCTCTTGGTGTAATTCAAGATTATTTTCTTTAAATCAACACTGCACTGCATTATATTGTCAATATGTAAAATATATTTCAAAATGACCAATAATTTGCTTGGAAACACAGAAAAAAAGCGTTTAGTTGAAGAGAGTCTCAAGCAAGATGTTACCTCCAGTGAAAACAGAGAGAGACTAACTCCTGTTTGCTGTGTTAGGAGGCTGCATGCCGTGCATTAAACTAGTCACTTTACCTTCAATTATGTTCAATAATTGTTAAAATGACTAAAAAATTGAATATTAAACTATTAAAATTATTGAATAGTATAAACTTCTTGATATTTACTAAAATAGTAAGGAATTTAAGCCCTAGAACCGATTAATGTATTGGCGGACTGATACTAAAGCTGGTTGCCCGGTCAGTGCAAGCGAAAACATGTTGAGGTCAGTTCGTAAGAACTTCGTTAACCGAATTTTTTTTCGTTAACCGAATTGAAGATCCTTATGGAAGGCAGTTCTTTAATTGAAATTACGTTAACCGAGGTGTTCGTTAAACGAGGGGTCACTGTATATATATATATGTATATATATATATATATATATATATATATATATATATATATATATATATATATATATATATATATATATATATATATATATATATATATATATATATATATATATATATATATATATATAGTCCCCGACTTACGACTGCTTGGACTTACGACCGTCGGGACTTACGACCGCCGCAGTTGTGACCATTTTTTCTTTTCTTTTCTTCAAATGACGCACGCATTTTCTATACCAAAATGTTTCCAGTTAATGTAGTCTCCATGTATAATTAGAAAATTATGGGGGCCCCATGTGCATTCAGCTGACTACATTAAAGGTAAGTGCTCAGTCACACTGTATCCATTCCTCATTATTTATTACTTTTACTGTACTGTATGTCATTGTAGATTTTTCATTTAAAAAAAAAATTATTTATTTATTTATTTTTTTTAATCTATGTCGGACTTACGACCAATCGGACTTACGACCTGGATTTGGGTCCCTAACCCCGTCGTAAGTCGGGGTCGAGCTGTATATATATTGTGTGACCAACACAGTAACAGACTGGCTTGGCGTCGCTTAGGGACGTTGTGACGTTCCGCGAGTGAGGGCACTGCGCCGAGCCGAGAGAGCGTAGTGCGGCCAGACGAGAGCGGGTGATGCGCCGTAGAAAGTAGTCTACGACAATGCAAAACAAGGTAGTATCGGATCACCGAGACGTTAAACAAATTTTTGGTCTCTAAAGTTCAGCGACGTAGTACCGAAACAAAGTTAAGCTGGACGATTTTAAGAGAGAAATTATTGTATTTAATGTACATTTCACTTTTTCCTAGCAAGCTCAACCTATGATTAGATTGTAACAATAAATGTAAGAAATTCACCGTATGCATGACAATGAGTTTCTTAGCAAAATGTACAGCAACTGATTTATATGGAAATTCTGTCATTTACGAGACTAGCCCTTCCGGCATGTCCGGCACAGACCCGAGTTGCCAAGTAGCTTGCATATAAACGAGTGCACGAGGAGGCCTCACTTTCTAGTGATGCTTCCTCCCCGCCTCTCTCAGGTATGTTTCTCACGCCTGCCATGTTAACTCATTGTGTTAACTCAGTTGAATTTTGTGAATATCAGTGTTCATGTTTTAATACAGTGACAAGTGAGATTAACGTAACATAGAAATCGTCTGTGCCGATGCCAGACGTATGATAGTTTTTTATTCAGTTTAGGCTTTTTTTAACATTCTAGTCACGTTTCCTTCTCGCCCCTCTCAGGCACAGAGTGCGTGTTAGCTGAATACCTGGCAGCTACCGGGGACCCGTAGCTGCATACTAGCTGGTTGCCTTGCAGGATGTCTTTAATTCGGCACGATTAAATTCAGCGAGTCCCGCACCTGAGAACTAAGCTCATGAGATGAACTCCCTTGCACTGTGTCGGACTGCAACCGACCCTAACAACATGCTTCATTTGTTGGTGTAGCACCAGTGACTGACCCTGGTGTACTACTCACAATTATATGTGCAAAGAAATATTGCTGTACATGATTGGGGATAATTAGCAGAAATAATACATTTATCCCACGTTGAGTATTGTAACCACAAATGGTGATATTACAAGTAATAACGTTGTTATGTGGGTTGTGAGTATACATCATTCATATGTACTACCAACTGAGTTCTAGTAAATGTTCCATGTTGTTCATTCCGAAATAACATGAGGTTATAAGTGATGGGTTAATATGTGTTGCTGACACGTGTGTAAAATAACCATCTTATTTGTCAAAGAAATAATATAACTGTTGTTTAATGTTGGACCAAATAATTGAAAATCTATTTTGTTAATTGTAAAATAAGACCTAAGTGTCTAGTCTTATCTGAGTGTGTTAAATTGACATCTTAGTCACTCTTGCTTTTAATAAATACAGTATTGATTTAGTAATTTGAGAGTATCACCGCTTATTTCCTTCTAATAATTGATTCTCAGAAAATACCCAAGGTAACTCACGTGCCTAAGCTTGCTACCACGCTACCTAACAGTTGATGATATCAGTTATATTCTAATAAAAGCCTGGGTGGTGGCAGTCTACTTGTGTAACTATAGTACAGGTAATTATTTTACTAGGTGATGTTAAAGAATGAAATGGTTTTCCCAGGCTAATCCATTTTATAAAATATAACTGAGCCATAATAAGAAATTGAGAGAAAGAATTAAGAGGTAAATATGAGAAATAAATACTGACATTGAAAGAAGTAAACAATAACTAAGAAAAGCAAAGTATTGAAAATAACCAGATAGAAAAATATAAATACATGGATAAATATAGAAAAGGAAAAAATACTGCATAACTCAGAAAATTAAAGGTTATATAAGACAGAAATAACATAGAAAATACAATACTGATAATATAAATAGAAACACCAAGAAGATAAGATAATATATAATAGGACAAAATATAGAAATAAAAAATAAAATTCTATTATTATATATACAGAAGAAAAGGTTAAAAAGATAACTCTTACACAAATATAATAGATAAAAGAAATAAGAGTAGAATAAAAAGGAAAAACCTTAAAACAGCATCCTTACATCGCAGCTCGTTAACTTAGTGTGTGGTTGTTGTGTTGGTGACACTTTCTACACCTTAAACAAATTCACGCCTAGGTGACCCTTCGGCTGGCTATCCTCTTTACACGAGGGACAACCATTATTATATTATTATTATTATATGTGGGGAGAGAAGAAGGAGGTTAATATGGAGTTTATTGGGATAAACAAATTTGTCTTTAAAGATATTACTGATTAAGGATTCAGCTATGAGTCTATGAGACATTCATAACTGAAAGTGTATAAATTAAGTTTATCCAAATCCACAAACATTTCACTTACATTGAGAGACTTCTGTAAAACTCCCTCAGAGATGATATTGGCAGCATTTTTGAGACCTCTGGCAAAAGAATCCATGGCACCAGCATGGGCAATAAAGAGATCACGCAGCTCAGTGGACTCACGACGAACTTTAGCGTCAAAGTTCAATCCACCAGGTGCAATTCCTCCCTGTGAGGTGAGTTGGGTTACATGTAAGATTCTCCATTTTTATTTTTTCTTGTTTCAAGTGTACTTTTTTTAGGACTACATCATCACGATTAAACTTGGTTTTAATTTTATTTTATCCTAAGTTCCTAACACTGTCCACCTACTGCTGTGGCCCCCAACCTGTAGTTTGCAGGCACCTGAACCATATTATGGAGCCTGCAAGGGTTTATTATTTTTTTTTTAATAATTGGGAATCTCTACCAGAGTGAAAATAATGAAAATATGTAATAACGTGATAAGATTTTAGAGAGGAACCCTGTTTGTCCCGAATCTACCATGTACAGGACATGTGTATTTACCATATCCCAGGCCCAGACTGAGAGAGAGCTAGCATGATCCAAGAGTAAATGTAAACAGATTGTAACTGGTAACAGTTAAACAGTTAGACTTGTTTTAGAAAAGCTGCAAATAAATGTATACAAGTTTTTTCTTTTTATCTTGAATGTAGATCCAAGGTTTTGGCATCCTCCACTGTATTTACAATGATAAATGTCGCCCAGAGCCAAATCCTTTATTTGAAGATCTGACATAAATTCTTGAACTAAAGTTGGCAGCATCACTACCGTAACTAGTTATTCACTAAAGCATGTTTAATACTCATCACTCGTATATGACGTTATGTAATATATTAACCATCCATTAAAAAAAATGACACCTAGCATTGCTACAGATTGTTTAAACATGTTGCATTGTTCTATGCATGAGGATACTGCTGAGATTTGGTTGCAGCTAGTTACATAAACAGTTCACCGTACTCATAACTGAAAACACTTACGTAATATGATACAGTTTGGCATGTACTGTGAGGAGCCCACCTTTATCAATGGAATATACATGTATGGAATACCTAGCATAATCCCTGTGGCCAGAGTGCAGTCTCCCTAAGGATACTGTACTTGGATGACTGAGACCAGTATAATTATTGCACTGCACTATCTTCTATTTATAGTGTCTAAATATAGAAGAATATTTCATACGAAGTGTGAAACAAAGAATTAAGTGGTCAAAAAACAAGGTTTGGAACAATACACTACCACCTATGAAAATTCTAACTTTGAATATTTCTCTAAAATTAGCCAGACACCCTCTATAGACATTATAAGTTTAAGACTGGTAAACTAACAACCAACAACCAACCTGTTCTACCACTGTCCTCATGACCATGGTACAGCTCCGAATATCCATTGGGAACTGATCTGTGTCCCAGCCCAAGTCTGGCGATCCAGTGTTGGCATCAACACTCCCAAGCATGCCATACCTGTCACAATGTCCAAATTTTAGATGATATAACTGCATGACTTACATACATCAGGTACACAGTAAAAAGTATCGTAACATTAATTAATAGCCAGTCAGCTGTAGGTTTTTTTTGGGGGTAAGGAGTGCATTTGGATCAGCTGAAGTTTAGCCCTTCAGCTTATTTCACCTTAAGATTAATCACTCTAATGCTAACCTAACCACAAGTGTTAGATTGTTTAATAATCAAGTGAAATAAGCTGGGGCGGCTAATCTTCAGGCGGTCCATACGCAGAGTTGTAAAGTAATGAAATAAATTTATTTGAGTACTGTACTCAAGTAACATTTTTGGGATATCTAATTTTTTAAAAAGTAATAAAAATTGATAGTACTTTTACTTAAGTACAGTATGGTTTTCTAATACTTTTACTCCAATACAATTGAAAAAAAAATCGTTACTCGTTACATGCACCAAACAAACAGAGTTTTAATGTCTGTGGCAAATTAATAATACCGTATATTCTTTAATTACTGAATTAATTATTAACCATAATAAAAGAGTTGTAGGGGTGGCGGGTATGGTGTGGGGAGTGACCACTCGGTCACTTACCTAGAGGTCTCCTGAGGTCAGGTTAAGTCAGGTCAGGTGGCAGTGGCCATGACAGCAGACTTTCCATTTGATCTTCTTGTGCACATTAGCACCTTGACCACCCACCTCACCTAGCCTACCCTCTTACTTTCCCATCCCCCATTGAATCCCCTCTCTTCTCCCCCACCTTTCCACTGGATATCAGTTGCTCTTTGCATATACCTGTACCTAAAATGAATTTCAGAGAGGCTGCTGTGAATTTCAAATTCTGCTTAAATGACTAAGTTCCACCCCCCCCCCTTGCCAGCTCCCACCAGATGTTACGTGGTGCAAAAAATTTAGCCACACCCCAATTAGAGAGACAGTTCACAGTGAGTCTTAGTCAGACTCAGTCTGTCAGTCAATATGGAGGCAACAATCATCCACAAACTCCTCAACTAAAGGAGCTTGATGGCTACTTGGTAGGCCCATGAGATGGAATGGAGCTGCTGAGGTCTTTCCCAACATTGTGTGACTTATCTCTCAAAGCTTAACACCCCACTACCTGCATCTACTGCTTGTGAGCATCTGCTTAGTCATGCTGGGCTTATCATTTATTTAATTAATTTATTACACCCCAGGGGGCAACAAGCCTGTCACAAGACCATGTGGTTAAACATTAATACATTGGCACTTGCGTCTCACAGGACACGCCATGACTTGTAATGTGGAAACAATATTGATATAATTTAACCCTTAGGCCCTGGGAATGTTCCAGAACATCCGCCTAGTCCCGGTATTTTATTTATTATTATTTTTTTATAATTTTGGGGGGAAAAGTTGATTTTTTATCGATTTATCCCTGCAGGGGAGGGAGAAGGGAGGTTACTGCCAGCAGAACCCTAACCCGGGGCTTAAGGGTTAAGGACAATGGGAGTTAGCACCCACCAAAGCATGGGTAGCATACAAAAATTTAATCTAAATTATTACGAATAAGTAGGTGGTGACATCATGCTTAGTGACTCTCCCTGACAGTGCAAAAGTCAAGGCAATAGTGTTGAAGGGTGTTAGTGTTGGGACAGTTACAGAGTTTACAGGAAGAGAAGTGCGGGTCATCCCCCACCAGATAGGTCTATATCCTAACCTAATGCAAGCAGAAACAACATTATGTCTGCAGACCATAAGTCGACGTCAACGATATTTGTGTGGATAAGGAAGAAAGTGATCATAGTGTTGGCCGGATATATTTTCAGCCCATTCACCATCCCTGCGATGGATTGTAGGGCGAAGAGCAGCTGAACGTATTCTCTTTTGGTAGGTCATGCTGGGCTTATATTTAGGCCTAAAAGATTCTGATTGGACAGCCATAATTTTGAAAATCAGTTATTAATGAACCTTAATAGAAAGATTTGCAAATAAATACAGTGGGGTATGCTATAATGAATCTAATTGGTTCTAGAACCTTGTTCGCTATAGCATTCGTTCGTTATAGGATTAATCCGTTCCAGGCCCCCAAATACAACCACTTAACACTGAAAAATATAATATAAAATTGTAAAAATTGTAAAAAAGTGCATAAATATGCATCTAAACCCCTGAAATAAAGAATATCATTAATATTTGTAATAAAAAAACAATAAATTAGAAAAAAAAAAATTAAATAATGTTCGTTGTAGGAGTTTCGTTCGTTATAGCATTCTCAATTTTATAGGTAAAACCGTTCGTTATAGGAATATTCGTAGTAGGATCCGTTCGTTATAGCATACCCCACTGTATGTGTAATGCCATCTTTTATTTTATATTGTATTTAGTTCACTATTTTTGTTTAATTTACTGTGGATTTATTTTAATATTCGAGACAAATAATACATAATTTTGTTGTTACTTTTTACTTTCAGTACTTGAGTATTTTAAGAATGAGATACTCTTTTTACTTCTACTTGAGTAAATTGACATTTGGATACCTTTACTTCTACCTGAGTAACATTTTGCCATTGTAACAATACAGTACTTTTACTTAGGTAACAAAGTCCACTATTTTTTTACAACTCTGTGACCATAAGTTTAATTTACTCTATAAGATATTTACTACAAAAATATTTTGTAAATCCATTTCATTCCATGTTTATCACTTTGGAGTTAAATGTCTCAAATATCGTTCGCTTATCAAAATGTATATGACTGCTCAGCAGGATACTCCAACAATACTGATGAATGATAAAAGTTTTGACAATATACAGTAAAAGGCTATTGTTTTTATGAAAAATCCAATTAATTTATAGAATAGTACAGTATATAAACTACCTAATCATCTTCCACACCTAGCCATCATTCTCCAAGATAATTAAAAGTCACATACGCAGATGAGAAGATAACATCATGTTCGTATGGGTGGCCAGCTAGAGTGGTGTGGTTGGGTTCAATGTTGAGCTTGAAATGTTTTGTGAGTCCATATTGATGCAGGAAGGACATCACTGTCTGGGCATCAAAGTCATACTGGTGACGTGTGGGTTCCTTGGCTTTTGGTTCAATCAAGAACTGTCCTTTGAAACCAATCTTCTCCTTGTAGGCTGAAAAATAAAGCATTATTCAAATTGGGGGAGTCTTCTCTGGGGGATGATATTTACTCATCATCATCATTATATGTCTATTTTCCATGCTTGCATGGGTTAGCCATGATTACCTCATGGCAGATGTTGAGTATAATCTTAACAGGATGCCCCCCCTCCCTCCACAAATTCATTGTCATAAAGATATGCCTTTGATGGTCAGGAATTATGTTTAAAATTTTTATTGTACTGTATTATTTTCTGTATACATGGGGGAACCCCCATGATTTAATCCATGATGTCTTTGATCTTTACAGAAGTAATAAATTTACTTACTTCGTTTAAATACTGATTTAATAGGAAATAAGATTTAAAGTTTGTGGCAATGACAAACCAAAAACTGTCTAAAGAACAAAATCAATGATGTTATTCTAATCCAAAACTTTTCAGGTAGTGCTTCAGTACAGTAATTAGTTATATGCCACGGGTTATCATCTACAATTTGGTCAAGAATTGGAATTAATGATATATTCTATAGTATTTCCACACTAACCTGGCACGTAAGCCACGCCACTTTTCTAAAAAAAATAGTTGATTGATTAAAAAAAAAATGTTCTTGTAGCTGTCCATTTATTCAAACTAAATATGTTCACAATTGGTAAGCAGAAAGTTATTCTTTGAAATAATGTCAAATATCTGGACTATCAAAATGCATATGATTTCATGGCATTAGCACTTCAGAGAGGTTGCTAGAAAATTTTAAATAATTATCACAAAAGGTCAAAATCAAAGATGAAATTCGCTTTCGAATTAAAAGCACAAAAAGTAATGAACAAGAAAAGAAATTATCATAGTAATACTAAAGATTATTATCATTATTATCAATCCGATGATTAGAAGTATTGTATATATCACTTTGTAAATTGGGTTTAAGCCTAAGAAGATTCTTAGAGGTGCTCCAATCTCTCAGGGAAGTCGAGGTACCGAAGCGCAGGCACCAGTCTGTTGGCCCTCCTTTGAACATTTTCAATCAGACGGGGTGACAGTACTCCAGATGGGAAAGCACTTCACTCTTGAAGATCGTTATGAGGGACAGATCGTCTAGATATCTGAACGACCTTCTTATAATACCTAATAATTTATTTGCCCGATTTACCTTCTTCTCGCAATGGCCCGAGAACTTCAGCTCATTGTCAACATACACACCTTGGTCCTTCTCACAAACCGTCTCAAATAGTGCAGTTTCTTCATCCCGTTGGGACATAAGATACGCCTCCTTACCGTTGGTACGCCGCAGGTGCATCCTCTTACATTTCGTGACATTGCATCTCAGCAGCCATTTCTTCGACCATTCTTGGAGCTCACAGAGATCCTTCTGCAGCTCTTCACAGTCCACATGGTTCTTGATTTCCCGAAATAACTTGGAGTCATCGGCAAACATTTGTATGGAGGAGTGTACAACGTCAGGCATGTCATTTATGAAACAAACAAACAACAGCGGGTCCAATACACTGCCCTGTGGTACCACGCTTGTGACAGGTACGGATGATGATTTCGTGCCATTAATCACCAAACACTGCTTGCAGTCATGTAGAAAGTCTTCTATCAACGCTAGGACATTTCCCAGGATTCCGTAACGTTGGTAAGTCCAAGTGGGGTCAAGGGCAGTGGTCACACGGGTCAAAGGTAAAGGTCTCTTCCTTGTTGACAGACTGTCTCTCTCCATAGTACAATATACATGTGTCTATAAGTTGTTTCATTGTAGTTCCTCATGCGCCAAGATTAGCACTGGTATTATTCTGGTGGGTGTGTCTCATAAGTAAGAAAAAATGCTGTAACTGTAGGAAAAATCAATGTATTCACCGACTGCCAAGAAACATTAACATATTACTTACAAAATTATTATGATCGATTTGTTTCATAAATGGGAAAAAGACTGTGATTGTAAACTGAAAATATCGTAAGGTGGACGTGATAATAAACTGCTTCACTGTCCGTGCTAATACAATATTAACATTGCTTTTGGGTTAGGTAGGATATAAATTTGGGTGGGTTGGCCTGCAGAAAAATTCCTAAATCGTAATGCGGCCCATGACTGAAGAAAGATTGCCCATGCCTGCGGTAAAGCATGAAGGCTGTTGCTGGTATTGCCCTAACTGCAAAATCAAAGTAAACGAGGCGTTTGCAGATCACAGGGTAAAGAGATACTTAGAGACAAAAATAGAGGAAGCTAAATCCGTGTTGGTTGCCAAGGTGGAGCAGGTTGGGAGAGATCCACACTAAGAATGGGGAAATAGCTAACAGAACAGAGGAAGTAGTTGCTCAGGTTATAGCAGGTCCCCCCCAGCAACTAGGGACTCTGAAGAAGTGTGTTGAAGAGTTGATAACTAGTAAACCCACTGATACAGGAAAACAGGAGAAACAGGAATTTTCAGAACATAGAAACAAAATAATAGTATTTGGAGTCCCTGAGAGCCAGTCGGAGGAAGCTGAAACTTGGAAAATGCACAAGTTGAAATTTCAGAATATTTGTGATGAGGCTCTAAAATTATTACCTCCTGCTCAGGACGTGAGGAGGCTAGTACAAAGACAAAAGGACAAGCCCTGCTCCCTCAGGATCACACTAGTGAGTGAGGGTAAGAAGTGGGAAGTTATTCAGCATGCAAAAAACTTAACAAGGAGCGATACATTTCGGGCTACATTCATAAACCAAGATTGCATGGTAATGCAGAGGGAACAGCACAAAATGCTCCTGGAGTTCTTGAAGCAGAGGAGAAAAGAGTCGATGAGGAATGGCAACGGACTTACATGGGCTATATACAGGGGGAAGGTAGTGGAGGCGTGTGCACTAGTTCAGAGCCAGGGGACAGCGGGACACCCCCCTCTGCTCTACCTCCCACCCAGGAAAAGTAAAGCACCATGTAAACAATGTCATCTCTGACCACACCCCACAAAATACAAAGGATACAGTAAACGAGTCAGCTGCAGAGAATGGAAGGGGCCGGAGTCAATACCAAGACGTGAGACATTATTGAGGACATTTTTCAGCTTGAAAGTCATGTACACTAATACTGACACGTTCCTTGACAAGTTAGCGGAGTTTTAAACACTACTGAAGGCACATCAACCCGATATAGTAAGTGTTGTAGAACTGTTGTACAAAAACATGAAAATCGAACCGGAGAAATGCGAGTTCAATATACGAATCTAATTGGTTCTAGAACCTTGTTCATTATAGCATTTGTTCGTTATAGGATTAATCCGTTCCAGGCCCCCAAATACAACCACTTAACACTGAAAAATTTCTGTTGAAATTGAAAAAATACGGTACTTTATCTTACCCTAGTGTTGTTCAGCATGCAGGACACCTTGCTTTGCTAAGTCTAGAGATTCCCTTAGCAGCTTGCACAGTTTTTATCTCCTCTTTATTCTTCAAAATCGTACATATACATTAGTCGATTTAGCCATCCCATATTCATCACTAAGTTTAGCAATGCTTGTTCCATTCTCATGTTTATTTATAATTTCTTTCTTAGTTTCAAGGGTTATTAGTTTTCTCACTCGCTTTTGACGATTCATTGTTACAATTGTACACTTGTATAACAAAATAGTTATAAAAATAACAAGAATTTCCACATCAAAAGACAAAATTTTAACAAGTTCAGTGGTGCACTGACTACACAATGAACCAATATGGTGCCTGACGCTCTTGCTGTGAGCCGCGGTGCAACGATATTCATGAGCAGGACGACATAGTCCCGTATTCATCCGCATTCGTTGTAAGTTTCGTTCGTTACAGCATTCTCAATTTTATAGGTAAAACCGTTCGTTATAGGAATATTCGTAGTAGAATCCGTTCGTTATGGCATACCCTACTGGGCATGGATATTAGGGTGTGTCATACGGAGGCGAATTTTTTTTTTTTGAGTTTGAAAAATCGACCCATGGTATTAATGATGTAGTTCTATGTGCAGAATCATGTGATATCTTCAGATTTGAAAAGTTTTCATTTTTTGCTAGGTAAATTTTAACTTGAAATCTTATGAAAATTCAGTATTCCCACCCTTTTACCAACACCACTAAATAGCTTATTTAAAGTAAAGTAAATGTATCAGGTTAATTTATTAGGATGAAAATGATCCAGAATAGTGAAGCGAATGATCTTGACACATTTATTAAATTTAATATTCCTTTAGAAAACAAAATCATCAAATACAAAAACCGGTTTTACTACTACGACCGGTGTTGCTACTTTTCCATAAGAGAGCATGTCTTTCTTGCTTCTGTTTCTACTCATCACCTCCCTGCTGACCACCTGGCAGGCTGGGATGTAGCCTTCCCTCCTCCTGGCTGTACACGTGACTGCTGGCCTCGCTCACTTGCTGTACACAACGCCCTATACTCTGGGTGTGCGAGGGCCAGGCAGGGACATGCATGGGGTTGTCCAGGAAAGCTCTGACTTGAACATTGGTGAGGCTGCAGGTAAGAGGGGGCTCACTGCCAGCCTGGATGTTATCCAGATCTATGAGATCAGTGAGGGTCTTGGCACCTAGATTGACTTCAGGAGTCTTCCTGGCCCTGAAGGAATCGTCACCAACTGATTCGTCATGCCCAGATCCTCTCATAAGTCTGATATCAAAGATCTTTTTGACTGCCACTCTTCTCTCCTCCTCATCCTTACTGCAGAGCATTGTCTGCAGAACTGCCTCGGGATGAGTATACCAGGAAGATCTCCTCACAGTCTGCTCCACAATCTGAACCACCTTCCTTGGCTGACTCCTCAGGAGCTCAAGCTGAAGAAGAGGGGCATGCGTCGGACCTTCGGAGAACGATGACTTGACCTTGGTGTTGAACCAATTTGACAAGTAGACACTCACGATGAATTGGACAATAAGTCTCAGGTTGTGAAGCTGGTTCCCTTTCAGTTTATGATGAACGACCCAAATTCTGCAGAACCTGAGAGCCGTTGTGAGCCACCTAGAATGTGAGACTGGACCTATCTGCAGGTAAGCAAGTCTATC